AGGTTCATGTAGGTCGAAGGTTAGCAGGAGTCTCAGGTATCCAGTTTATTTTTTTATTATGAAGGGTGGGTTATGAGACAAAGACTTACTCCATAGCCCAGGCTAGCCTCAAATTACATTCCTCCTGCCTCAGCCTCCCAAGAGCTAGGATCATAGATTGGTGTGCACCACTGGATTCTGATTTCTGTTTTAAAACTCCGTAATTCAGAAATAACCCTTAGCTTGAATTTGTATATGCATGTATGGGGTTGAGGTTAAACACAGTGCCTGTTACACGTGCTAGATGATCAGTTGGCCACTGAGCTTCATCTCCAGGCCTGGTGTTTCTTCAAGTTGTCCTGTCCCTTCCCTCCCCCACCTTTGAGATGGGTATCATGTCAAGTTGGTCTAGTACTCCTGATGATCTCCTTGCTGCCACCTTCCAGTGACTGGTATCTAAGCTCTTATTGATGGCTTTTGGTGCATGCTTGTAATCCCAGCACTTGGGAGGCATAAGCAGAATGTCTGGAGTTTGAGACCAGCCTCTGCTACTTATACATGCATATACATTTTGCATCAAAAGTTAAATAACAGCCAGCCGGGCAGTGGTGGCGCACACCTTTAATCCCTGCACTCAGAAGGCAGAGCCAGGCGGATCTCTGTGAGTTTGAGGCCAGCCTGGTTTACAGAGCAAGATCCAGGAAAGGCACAAAGCTACACAGAGAAACCCTGTTTCGAAAAACAAAAACAAAAAAAGTTAACCCACTGCCAGAAAACCCACCTGTTAAACCAGTTGTGGCATACCTATAACCCAGTATTTGAGAAGCTAGGGCAGGGGGATTGGTAATTTAAGGCCAGCCTGAACTATATACACAGTAAGACCTTATGTCAAAACAAAAATGGGAACCTAATAATGATTTTGCTTACCAGAAAAGAACAGTTCTTTGTAGGAAAAGAGACAGCATGTGGTTAATCTCAGTTTTTATAAAGGGGAATTCAACCCCGCATTCCCTTACAAGAAACACTGTTTTCGAGAAAGAAGTACTCTTCTCTCTCTCTCTTCTTTTTTTAAAAGATTTATTTATTATATATACAATATTCCTGTACGCCAGAAGAGGGCGCCAGATCTCATTACAGATGGTTGTGAGCCACAATGTGGTTGTTGGGAATTGAACTCGGGACCTCTGGAAGAACAGCCAGTGCTCTTAACCTCTGAGCCATCTCCCCAGCCCGTACTTTTCCCTTTACTGTGTTTCCTATAGGGCCAGTACAGTGAGCTTGCTCAGGACAGAAAAACTGCTTCCTAGACACACAGGGTCCATGTCTAGCCTGTGTGAAGGTCTGAGATCATTATTCAGCATTACATCACCAGATTTCGTGGCACATCCTCATATATGCTAGTGAGGTAGAGGAAGGATCAGCAGTTCAAAGTCATCCTTGGCTGTGCAGTGATTTGAAAGGCAGCCTGAGCTAAATGAGATCTTGTCTCAAAAGCAAAGCGGGTCAGCAAGATGCCACAGGGAGTAAAGGTGCTTGCCACCAACCTGATGACCTGAGTGTGCTCCCTGGGCCTGCAGGGTAGGAGAGAAGGATTCCTAAAGGCTGTCCTATGGCCTCTACAGGCGCTCTAAAACAAATATAATTTAATAATAAAAGCAAAACAGAACAAATATGGCTTACGTATTTTGATTATTTTGTTCTTTTAGTTTTGACCATGCTGACTAATGAAACTGGCTTTGAAATTAGCTCTTCTGATGCTACGGTGAAAATCCTCATTACAACAGTGCCACCCAATCTCCGAAAACTGGATCCAGAGCTTCATTGTAAGTCTTCTCCTCTCCTTATTTTGGCAGAAGAGACAGCCAAAGCTTTGAAGCTTTCAGGAAATTTTAGTATTGAGTTAACTGTGAGGGAATTTTACTTTCTCCGTAATTTGTAAATAGTTTTACCAGCTTCCTAGTGAGATTTTTCAAAGCCTTAAAAAGGATTGCAGAAGAAAAAAACTTGAAGAAAAAGGTTTAAAAAAAAAAAAAGTAAAAGTCTGTATAAATATTTGGAAGGGAAATAGATTATTGAGAAAGATATGTATATTGCCTGTTTCCTGATTTGGCTGGGGCGGAACAGTAGTGTTTGGATATATGGCCTGCCACACTCCTGGACAGGTACCGGGATTAAGTCTATTGCATACTTGATAGCAAAGTTTCTTAGCCTGTTGTGCTTGTCTTCAGTGGACATCAAGGTGTTGCAGAGCGCCCTAGCGGCCATCCGGCATGCCCGCTGGTTTGAAGAAAACGCTTCTCAGTCCACGTGAGTCTAAGTTGTTATTTGTTTGAGATAGCCCTTCTTCCTGAGGAGGGTAGAGGTTCCGGCCTCTACATAGGTAACAGTACACACCCCTGCTTCCTCTGACAGAACTGTTTCAGATGTGATGTTTGGGTTTTGGTTTTTACCTAAGTAAACAAGATTGAAGGAGGATATATTAATATTTTAACGCTGTCACAGTTGTTTAGTCTCAGGGCAGTTTTAAGGAGTTCTCTCCTTTCATGTGAGTCTTGGGGATTGAACCCAGGTTTGTCTTACTTAGGAACAAATGGCCTATCTCTGCTGAGTCAGCTGGTGGGCACTATATATGAAGTTCTCTAAATAGTATAGCCATACCAGTATGATGTTATTACCTCTAATCTATGGATCTCCTTCATTCAGAGTGAAAGTTCTCATCAGATTGCTGAAGGACTTGAGGATTCGTTTTCCTGGCTTTGAGCCTCTCACCCCCTGGATTCTTGATCTACTTGTAAGTAAAAAAAAAGGGGCGGGGGGCTGAGGCTGTAGCTCCATGTAGGAGTGCTTGTCTGGTATGTGAGAGGCCCTGGTGCAATTGCAAGTACTGCAAGAAGCAACAAGGGCGCAGTTAGCATTAGTCTTTGTCTGTGTTTATTTAGTTTTGAGACAGGGTTTCTCTGTGTAGCCCTGGCTGTCATGGAACTCACTCTGTAGACCAGGCTGGCTTTGAACACGATCCTCCTGCCTCTGCCTCCAGAGTACTTGGATTAAAAGGATGTGCCACCACACCCAGCTTGATTTACTCTTGAACCTACCGACATCAGAAATTGAATGAGGCTTAAGAGAAATTTTGGTCAGTCTTTGACAGGCTGAGGCAGGAGCATTTTGAGTTTGAAGCTAGTTGGTGTGATTTAGGGAACCCTGTCACCACCCAGGTTTAGTGGGGGAACAGTGTAGGAAGATTGGCAGGTTATTGCCTCGCTGAGGTTTTCAGTACGTAGTGCAAGTACTGTGTGCTTCCATTACCGCTCTCGGCTCATCGTTCCAGCTGGTGTTCCTCATCACCTGAGGCTATAGTGTGTTGGAACATAGAGTTGGCAGACTTCTCTCTTCCAGGGGCACTACGCTGTGATGAACAACCCCACCAGACAGCCTTTGGCTCTGAATGTGGCATACAGGTATAGCATGCTTCTTTGGGTTTGGGCTTGGGTTGTAAGCTGTTTTGTGTGCTTTCTAAGTGTCTTTGTGTTCCAGGCGTTGCTTGCAGATTCTGGCTGCAGGACTGTTCCTGCCAGGGTCAGTGGGCATCACTGACCCCTGTGAAAGTGGCAACTTCAGGGTGCACACAGTCATGACCCTAGAACAGCAGGTATTAACACAACCATGAAATGAATGGGGTGCTGGCCAGAAGGCAGGGGAACTGGGGATTCTTGAAGACTGAGTGAACTTGAGATTAAAAACTGTCCTCATCTCTTTCACATGGATGTTAGTCATGTATCCCTCTTTATTTGGGCTGATTTTACCCTCCTTGTTCTTCAGGATATGGTCTGCTACACAGCTCAGACTCTGGTTCGAATTCTCTCACATGGAGGCTTTAGGAAGATCCTTGGCCAGGAAGGGGATGCCAGCTGTGAGTTCTCTTTGGGTTGTGGTCCAGGGGTTCTGACCTCTAGAGAAGCTGTATCTTAAGGTGCCCTGCTATTTCTGGATCTAGCTTACTTTGTTTACTGTATGAAGTGGGTTTCATCTTTTTCTCCTAGATCTTGCTTCTGAAATATCTACCTGGGATGGAGTGATTGTGACACCTTCAGAAAAGGCTTATGAGAAGCCACCTGAGAAGAAGGAAGGGGAAGAGGAGGAGGAGAATACAGAAGAGCCACCTCAAGGGGAAGAAGAAGAAAGTATGGAGACTCAGGAATGAACTTTCCTTTACTCTTTTCTGTCCAAGGAAAAGATGAGCCTAAGCCAGCTGCTATGGGGCTTATATGGTGGCATTTCTGTGGCATAGGGAGATAGAAGGCAGGAAAACAAGCTGTAAAGAAGTGTGTCATTCCACTGTTTGGATAGAGGCTAAGTAGCCAGAAGTCTCCCGTTTGTGACTGTGTATGCCATCCGTCCACCTGAATGAAGCAGAATGCCACACATTCCCAGTATTTAAATCGACCCACTCCCAACCAGTACTTCCTGTTGTTGAAATGTAAACTGTCAAGTGTCTGAGATTTTTTTTTTCTAAGAAAAACATTAAAGTGCTTCCTAGCAGGACTTTTGGTCTTATTTTTCAATATTTAGCAACCATTTCTGCCTTTTATATACTTCATTTAGAATTAAAGTTGAGTCTTTTATTATAAACAGATTGCAATTTCAGACTTTGTAAATTAAAAGTAATGGACTCCTGGAATCTTTCTACGTTTGAGAGTAAGCTGGAATGCATTTAAGCGTTGTGATGGTTAATTTTCATGTCAGCTTGGCCTACGAGGTTGGTAAGACACACCTGATTCTCTGCAGAGGATTAACTGAGCAACAAGTCCACCCTAAATGTGGGTAAAACCATCCTATGAGCTGGGTGCCTGGACAGAATAAAGGGATAAAAGAGAAAACAGGTAGAATCCCAACAGTCCCTTCTCTTGGCCAGCATGGGATGGAGAAACTTGATTAGCATACATCATCATGTCTGACAGTAGGCCTAGAAACAGATCACCGTGACCATGGCCTAAACCCTTTGAAACCACAAAGATGAATCCTTTTTTTGTTAAAATAACCAGTACAAGCATTTATTTAATAATGCTGAACAATACCATTAACATACTCAAGCCAGGGTAGTCAAGAGGATAGATTATTACCTTGACTTTGCCTAAGTCCTCAATTGAAAACAAAGCAAGTGAAGTTACAGGTAAAGGAAACCTTGCCAGGTCCAAGTAATAAGACAGAAACAGGATGATCAACACTGGTTAACTAGGCCTGGAAAAGATGGAACTCAAAATATTTAGCTTTAATTTTTTATTTTATGTGAATGGATGTTTTGCCAGCAACTACATCTGCATCTTGTGTGTGTGCTGTGCCCAAAAAGGCCAGAAGAGGGCATTGTATCCCCCTGGAACTGTAGTCGTAGATTGCTGTGAACCACCATGTGGGTGCTGGGAACTGAACTCCATCATCTGGAAGAACAGCCAGTGCTCTTAAATCACTGAGTTGTCCTTCCAGTCCTTAAAATTATAGCTTGTAAAAAAAAATCCACAAAAGCTTAGGGACTCTCAGCTGTCAAGGCTCTCTGCCCTTGACCTTAGATCCTCATATCATTTGTTATGCTCAGTAATGAAGGCAACAGTTGTGATACTTGCTAAGAAGAGTTAACCCAAACGTTAAAATACATAGGATATATGTAAAGATGAATCTGAAAAGGTCCTAATGCACGGAGGGGAGGAGTGGACGTGTTTCTTTCTGCACTAAATCTGGTGTGTGTTTCTACCACATGATGCCTAACCTACTTAACATTCTCTGTGGGAATATACATACAGGCTTGAGCCAAGCACACTGGCACATGCCTATAATCCCAAAGGTAGAGGCTTATTCTTGGAAGCACAAGCTGTAATGGAGGTTCTTCAGGATAGTCCTGCAGGATGTACGTTTCTTGAGGCTGCTACATGAATGAGTACACAGTTCAAACTGTTTCCTGGAATCTTCTCATGTCTACCAAAACAAGGCAGCTGGAGAACAGTACTTGTACTCAGGTCACAGGCCCCTCTTATTATTTGCTTGGAGAACCAGGAGGGTAAACTCCTGAATCCAGCATTGCTCTCCTTCGAGCTGTCTCCTTGGCAACACTGTGGTTTAATCGCCTTAGCCGTTCCTACGAGACAGGAAGACAAGGAATCTAACGACTGCTGTAAAAGGTTTTACCTGAGTTGAGTAGGCGCTGCCGAAAGATATCTTAGGTTTGGACTCCTTTTTTAAGTTTTGGTTTTTCAAGACTGTGTGGCCCTGGCTGTCCTGGAACTTGCTCAGTACACCAGGCTGGCCTCAAACTCAAAGATCCGCCTGCCTCTGCCTCCCAAGTCCTGGGATTAAAGGTGTGTACCACCATCGAATGGCTGGTTTGGGCTCTCTTAAAGTCAGTCCTATAAGCCTGTAAATGATGGCCACTAGATATTAAGAATTAGGTTTATGGGTACCTGTCCAGTATGGTAGAGGATCTGAGTTTGAGGCCTAGTATGGCGGGCAGGGTGTTAATGGGCCTTTTTTTTTTTTTTTTTTTTATCAGACTAGCTAACACCACCCTTTCCCCGGTAGTTAAAATTTTTGGTGGCTTTCACTGTGTTGAAGACATAAAGCAGGATAAAGAACTGTTAGAATTTTGTTTTGTTTTTTTGATCCAGGGTTTTGCTATATAGCCCTAGGTGATCTAACAGTCCCTGTGTAGTCCAGGCTATGCTCCAAGTCTCAGCCATCCTTCCTGCCTTAGCCCACCAAACACTGAAATTTCATTATGTGTCACCATGCTCTGCCAGGAAACCTTTTTAATTTTTTTGTTTTGTTTTGTTTTGTTATTCGAGACAGAATTTCTCTGTGTTAATAGAGTCCTGGAACTCACAGAGATCCACCTGCCTCTGCCTCCCAAGTGCTGGGATTAAAGGCGTGGGCCACCACTGCCTGTTTTTATTTTATTTTATTACCTGGGCATTCTGTAAAATATTGTTCACCAAGACAACTCGTCGCCTGGCATTAAGCAGCTTCTTAACATAAGGGTCCAGATCCAGGGCCACCTTCTGATCCTCATTGATCCGGCAGAGTTCTGGGAAGAGGAAATGGGTAACCAACATCTAACGGCTCATTGTTTTGTTCTTAGGGAATATTTAAAGAGGAACGGGATGAAAAACACTCTTGCAGTCTCGTGTGACCGGAGACACCTTCCCGTCACTCCCTGTCATTCTGTCGTGAGATATCCCCAGAAATTAGAGTCCGTGGGTAGTTCTGCTATTGAGGAAACAAGTGACAGAGACCTAGCCTAGAGCCTGGGAAAGCAAAGCTCGTGAGAGTGAGTTCAAGGGTTCTGGGTCGTCCGGGTGCTCACTCACCTGTAGCTAGGTTGTCAATTTGTTCCCGGAGCTCTACCTGGCTTTCTCTGCAAAGAGGTACAAAGGCCTACACGGTCAGTGAATGGAAGGCGGGGGACTAATTCTACTTATTCCTCGAGTACTGAGGCCAGGCCTCCTCTACGCCCTCGCGCCTCTTTTACCCAGCCTGGGCATCATCGGTTTCCCCGGAGCGTCTTGGTCTTAGCAGAACTGAGCAGGTCGCTTCCTTCCGTGGCCCCGCCCCTACCAAGCCAGTTCCAGAGGCCCCGCCCCCAGCCTTCCCGCTCCAGCACCTGACCGCGTGCACGTGGGAGTCGAGCTGCTGCACAGCGGGTCGCAGGAACTCCAGGAGCCCCTCGGCAAAGAGGTCGCGGCCCGTGGGCCCCGCCACTGGGGTCCCTGCCCCTGACACGGCAGCGGAACCAGCCGCGGCCATCACGAGCTGCCCGGACGCCCGCAGCCTGCCGCGAGGGCCGCCGGGAACTGCAGAGCGCCGCGAGGGGGCGCTTAGGTAGACCGTCCGCACGGCACGGGGATAGCTGGGAAATGGAGTCCTCCGAGAGCCGCGGGCGAGCCTGGCCAGGGCTGGAGCCCTCGGGAAATTGTAGTTCTTTCGTAGGCCTGAAGGGGGCGGGGTCCAGGCTTAGGAGCCCACAGGAACCATGGTTTTGGATGGGATATTTTTTAAATTTTATTGTGTTTTTGAGGACAGGGTCCCTCTACACAGTGAGTAGCTGGCTGGCTTGGTACTCACTGTGTAGACCAGGCTGGCCTCGAACTCACTGAGATCCGTCTGCGGCTGCCTCTCGAGTGCTGGGATTAAAGGAGTGTGCCACCATGCCTGACCTTTGTGCCCCCCCCCCCCGCTCCCCCTCCCCCGCTTTTCTTTTTTTTAAATGAAAATAAGTGCTGTTGTCCATAGCCTTCCCATGGGAATCAATAAGAAAGCCAGTTTATATTCATGTTAAAGTTTTATATTTCTTCTTTTTTGTTTTTGTTATTTTGTTTTTTAAGACAGTTTCTTTGGATAGCCTTGGCTGTCCTGGAACTAGTGCTGTATAGATCAGGCTGGTCTTGAACTCACAGAGTTCTGCCTTTCTCTGCCTCCTAAGTGCTGGGATCAAACACTTGTACTACCACTGCCCGATGAATTTTATATTTCTAAAGATTGTATTATTTATTTTTGTTAGACAGAGTCTTGCCATGTAGCCCATGTTAGCCTTGAGCGCACAATCTTTCTGTCTCAGTCTCTCTAGTGCTGGAGTTACAGGCCTGTGCCACCATGACAGGTTTTAAAGATTTTTTTTCCCCCGAGACAGGGTTTCACTGTGTAGTTTTGGTGCCTGTCCTAGATCTTGATTTGTAGACCAGGCTGGCCTCGAACTCACAAAGATCTGCCTGGCTCTGCCTCCCATGTGCTGGGTTAAAGCCATGTGCCACACAGCCCTGCGCTTTAAAGATTTTTTTTATGCTGATTATTTGTTTTTTGGGCAGGGGAGGATCCCTGCGGTTTGAATCCAGGGCCTCCTCATGATTGCTAGACAACTGCTCTGCTAAGCTATATTCCCATAGTACCTTACCCTCCCACCCCACTTTTTTTTACATTTTTTATTTTGAGATAAGTTTTCACTAAATTGACAGAGTGGACTTGAATTTGCTTTGTAGTTACATGCAGGACTTGAGTATGTGATCCTCCTGCTTCAGGCACAGGCTTGCACCAGCTCTGGCTCCTAAAGAAGTTGGCAATTTGTTTTTCAATTTTCTTTTGTGTGTTCAGATGTATGTATATAGATACCTCTGCCATGGCATATGTGTGGAGGTCAGAGGACCACTTGTGAGAGATCAGGTCTTTCTTTCCAGCATGTGAGTCCCTGGTCCTGAGGCTTCAGATTTGGCACCTTAACTTTTGGAGCCGTTTTGCTGGCCCTGGTGTGTGTGTGTGTGTGTGTGTGTGTTTGTGTGTGTGTGTGTGTGTGTGTCTGTGTTATGTACAGAGTGCAGTGAGTGCAGGTGCCTAGGAAGATCGGAAGTGTTGGAGTTACAGGCAGTTGTAAGCTATCTGCTGACCAGGGTACAAGGAACCAAACTCCAGTTCTCTGGAAAAGCATTATGTGCTCTTAACTGCTAAGCCATCTCTCTAGCCCCCAATTGGTATTTTTAAAATTATTACTTTTAAACTATGTGTGTGTGTGGGGGGGGAGGGAGGTGCAGGTACACTTGGAGGTCAGAAGCATGAGATTCCCTGGAGCTTTGAGGCCAGAGGTATTGGATCCCCTAGAACTAGAGTCAACAGGTGGTTATAAGCATCCTGATGTGGGAACCCATCTGGGGTCCTCTGCAAGAGCAGTAAGTACTCTTAACCACTGAGCCATCTCTTCAACCTCTCCCCATCCAAGAATATTTTTTTTAAGATTTATTTATTTATTTATTTATTTATTTATTTATTTATTTATTATGTATACAGTGTTCTGTCTGCATATATCCCTACACACCAGAAGAGGGCGCCAGATGTCATTACAGATGGTTGTGAGCCACCATGTGGGTGCTGGGAATTGAACTCAGGACCTCTAGAAGAGCCGCCAGTGCTCTTAACCTCTGAGCCATTGCTCCAGCCCACAAGAATATTTTTAATAGCATCAAATATGCATAAAACTGTATATGCCTTGGGCTGGAGAGTCGGCTCAGTGGTTAAGAGCACTGGCTGCTTTTCCAGAAATCCTCAGTTCAATTCCCAGCAACCATATGGTGGCTAGCAACCATCTGTAATGAGATGTGGTGCCCTCTTCTGGTCTACAGGTAGAAACACTGTATACATAATAATAAATAAATCTTTTTAAATATTTTTTATTTTATAATTAATTTAATTTTACATATCAGCCACAGATTCTTCTGTCCTCCCTGGTGTTACCTCTTTTTAATTTTTTTTTTATTTTTCTGTTATCAGCTTGATACAGTATAAATTCTTATCCTAATAGTGAAATGTTTCACTGAAGCTTGCCCAGTGATTGAGTAAAACCAAAATTTATTATAAGCCACAGTCATCCTAGGGTCCCCCCTGCCATATAGCCTCCCTGGTTCTGTGGGTTGCAGTCTGATTGTTCTTTGCTTTATATATAGAATCCACTTATGAATGAGTACATACCATGTTTGTTCTTCTGGGTTTGGTTTACCTCACTCAGGATGATATTTTCTAGTTCCATCCATTTGCCTGCAAATTTCATGCTGTCATTGTTTTTCTCTGCTGAGTAGTACTCCATTGTGTATATGTACCACATTTTCTTAATCCATTTTTCAGTTGACGGGCATCTAGGTTGTTTCCAGATTCTGGCTATTACAAATAGTGCTGCTATGAACATAGTTGAGCATGTATCTTTGTGGTATGATTGAGCATTCCTTGGGTATATGCCCAAGAGTGGTATGGCTGGGTCTTGAGGTAGATCGATTCCCAATTTTCTGAGAAACCGCCATACTGATTTCCACAGTGGTTGTACAAGTTTGCATTCCCACCAACAGTGGAGGAGTGTTCCCTTTACTCTGCATCCTCTCCAACATTGACTGTCATTAGTGTTTTTGATC